TGCGCGCCCATGCGCACACCCATGCACGCTGCGCGCGCGTGCGCCCAAAAGCTGCTATATGTTTTGCTTTTCAGAAAAATCCGGAACAGAGGCTGAATTTGGAGGCCTAGATGAATTTTTTTGCAAAAACACAAAGAAGAAACCCCCCTCAAAAATGAGTTTCCTATGTGACTTGCGAAAGAATTCAAAAAAAAACGCAATGTAGAATGCCCAAAATGCCCCTCCATGAAATCTGGTCATGGAGGTCCAAAAAGCTGCTATTTTGAAAACTGAGAACTGAACTTCGTAAGCGATTTCCGATATCAAGACGACATTTTCTGGAAAAACACGGAAAAGAAACCCCCCCCCCCCCCCCCCAAAAATCATGTTTTCTATTCAACCATGTTGAAATAAGAAAATAAAACCACCGTGAAAAGTCTATAATGCCCCTAGATCAGAATATGCAAAAAAATGCGAAATGAATTCACAAGAGGCTCAAAACACAAACGATAAGGTTTTGCCCGGAAACGACCATGCACGCAAACGTAACTTACCTATTTGGACGTGCTACAATGGTCCACGACTTAAAAATACTACCGGTACAAAATCCGACCCCCCTACGGGCAAAAAGGCAAAAATGGAACTTGGAATGAAAACTCGGAATCCAAAAATACAAAACGGAATCAAATAACCGTTTGGCCCTTGGCCACACTTCATACAAGATTAATAAGACCTTATAAAAGAATGAAAATGGAATTCCCACACCCGATGCAACTATGGTGAAACAATGACTTGTGATTTTTCAAGGTTTTCATAACATTGAAAGGAGTGTACTTAAGTACACATTACATACATGGAATCAAATATACATATTTTGACATATAAGTCTACAAAATGACATTTCATGCTAACATTTGCATGAAATGGAAACTTGAAAGCTACACGACATCCAAGGAATGCTAGGCGTCACGAACCAAGTCTTTGTACCTGAAATATGCCCCAGTATCGTAGGGGTGAGTAACATAAAGCTACTCGTAGGAGATGAGCATGCATCGACCTAGCATTTTACAAATTTATCACCTTAAACATGTTAAAGGGGTTCATGCCACCTAACGTCTATATCGAAATGAGACTCAGGGAGCATCCTAAGCTACCTTAGAGTGTTTCTAGCATAAATCACATCATCTATGCCATTTAAACAATATGGAAGCACGTTATACAAAGCAACAAGATATAGGTTCTCAAAGGTATTAACTTGCAATCTCGAATCCAAAAACAACTAAAGTGATCATGTCACCTAACGTCTATGTTCTAAATAAGTCTAAGGAATCATCATAGGCCATGCTGAACAATCAAAACGCAAATTACAACTTCAATGCAGTCTAACCACATAAAAGCATATTATACAAGGCAACAAAATACAATTTCTTAAAGCTATCAGCTTGGAATCTAAAGCACGTAAACAACAGAAGTGGGTCATGCTACCTAACGTCTAAGTTATAAATGAATCAATAGGATCAATCCTAAGCTTTATCAGAACGTCAAAACATGATTTTCAATATCGATGCAATTTAACCAACATTGGAACTTCCAATACAACGCATAAAGCACAATTTCGCAAAGTTAACATCCTGTAACTTAAAATGGAACGACAATTAAGAAACAACAAGTTACAACATCATCTAGTTATCTACTTGAAAATGAAATGCGAAATCAAACAAAGTGGATACTCGGACGTCACGCCGGATCAGACCGATAACATAGTTACTTTAGGGTTACTAGCCCATTGGTAACCTCCCTATGTGCGCACTGGACTATATATGGAGGGACTATTCCCCGTACTAGAACCACGTCCTAGCCATAGTCAAACAACGATATCCCCAAGTTTCCAAAATCAACAAGTTGTGCAACAACGCATATATCAACAGGAATATGCAAGATAATCAACTATCTACTAAGCACAACCAAATTTGGAAACCTATACAATACATGCTCTAAATCCACAACTAATATGATATGATGAATGTCGAATCTTCAGTGTGCGATTCGTTACACGCTATGCATGAAAGATGTTAAACACGAAGTGTGCAAATCATTACACAAGGCAACAATATATTCAATAAGGAAAACATATTCTCATGAATACAAACATAGCAATTATGTTATCCAATGTTCAAAATATAACCAAATGAATATACAACAAGTCTAAGTCCGTGATTTGAATATAGAAACCACTTCTAAAACACAACTAGATCATAGAGCAAATTGATAGAATTTAAATAGATAAACACAATTAAATTCTCTAGATTTCCGATTCAATTTCAATTAACCTCAATTTAATACATGTTAAAGGACATGGCAAGGTCATCACCTATATCCATTCTAAAACTCAATTAGGTTGTTAGAATAACAAAGTAGAACTTTAATTAAATCATGTTGATTTAAATCCCAAGATTCTAAAACAACTTCTAATAGTCCTAATTTAATATATACTAGTAAACAAGTCATGGCCAATACAAATATCAAGTTAAAATCTTAATTAAGCTAATGGACCACAAAATAGATTTTAATTAATTCTTTTAATTAAAATCTCTTGATTTTCAAACTTAACCAAATGCTCTCAAATTAACCTATGTTGGAAAGCATGCCAAGAACTAATGTAATATCACATTACAAGTTTATTTCATTCAATTTAAGACCATGTGAATTAAACTTTTACTAAAGTTAAATATAAATTAAAAGTTGCAATTCTCATGTAATTAATCCCAATTTAATATATGTAAACAACTATACCTAAACTTAATTTTCTAGCATGCCACAATACAATTTCAAGTTGTATATCACCATGAGGATTAAATCTTAAACATGGAATTTAATTAAATAAAAGGTTTCAAAATCTAACCGAATATTATAAATCAAATATATGTAAAGCTATATGGCATGTAAATCAAGAATATCAAGTCAGAATTCAAATAGAGTGAATAGTGCAATCTGGGCAAATTAATTAATAATTACTAATTTTCAAAACACCTCCAATTACTTTCAAATTCAACTATGTTGGAGAGCATACTAAGGCCTAATTTAATATACTAACACATATTGATTTCAAGCTAGTTAAGGCCATGTGAATTAATCTTTCACCAAAGATAAATATTAAATAAAATCTTTAATACTTATTTAAATATTTCAATTTTAATACACGACAATGAGCATATCGAGGGGCAATATAAAATCATACTACATGTTTAAACCAAGTCATGAGCAACCAGGAAAATTAGATCCCGTACAAGAAAAATAAATAATAAAATCTCTAGATTTTATATTTAATTATGCAAATAAGTAGTATAAGTATCACAAGCATGCTATATAACAAGAATTTAAACTTAGAACATCCCCTAGCTCAATTTGAGATGAAATCTCAAAGGCCCACCAAAATAAAAGTGCTCCGAATTCGACAATACCGGGAGGTTTTGTCGGGGACAACACCGTGAACAAGAATCCGCAAGAAGCCCCATGAAAATCTCAACTTGACTCCAAACCCGAACTTGAAAAATCGTCGGAAATGGATTCTAATAAGGGCATAAGATGCGTGGCGTCAAGACAAGCATTAAACGTTAAGGTCGAAGACTTTTCACTCGAGGGAAGTGGCCGGAAAATGAAGAACAAAGGTGGCAGCCCCTTGGCAGCCATGGCTGCCAGCCAAGAGAGAGGAGAGAGAGAGAAGAAAATTCTGATTTTTCTCTTTAAGTCTCCTATTTATAGAAAAACCCTAAAAGTGCCCCGAAAGGGCCCCGCCGAGTCTGGAAAAGTGAATTTTGAGCAGACGCGCTCAAACGGCAAAACTCCATGAACAAAAAAGATTCAAAATGAGAAAATATGAACAACGGAAGAAACGGCATCAAAAACTGAGTCCCGAACAGAAAGTTATGCCCCGAACAAGTTCGGCGGCAACCAGGTCCAGAAACTCTGAAACTGGAGAAAAACGACCAGAACGGAATTCTAAGAGTTCACGACTCGACGAAATGTGAAAATGAATCCCGCACGAGAATCCAGGTTCTGGACGAGACATTTTGCAATAACTTTCGTTAATTGCACAATGACCCCTACAAAAAGGGTTAACTGTGAAATTGCCCCAGAATGAAAATATCTTCCAAAAAATATTTTCTTAAATACCCCTGAAATAAAATATCTTCAAAAGATATTTATGAAAACACCCCAAGAAATGAAAAAGATTCTGAAGAATTGTGCATCTATGCCCCTGTGGGCACCGGGAGCAACCAGAGTACTTTCTTGCAAAAGTAAAGATACGTATTTTAAGGAAACCATTCAAGATGAAGGCACGTGAAGTCAAATACCAACTCCGAGCATGAGAAGTGAGGTTGTGCCAAAAACTGACAAACTGAGATAAGACAGAATAGGGAAAAGGACGAAATAGCGCATAGTGTCGAAAAACGAAAAATGTGAAAATGACTCAGTCCTCAAAGGAGTTGTCAATCCACGGGAAAAGAGTCTCAGGATCCAATTCCGAGCACTCAAGATGACACTAAGCGACACGAAACAGAATTCAGAAAAGAAAATTAAACGAAAAAAATTCATTCGTAAAATTTCAGGAAAAATGAAAGGAAGGTAAATGACCTGGTCGTTACAGCATGAGTACCTAAGCTTAACAGGGTATACCTCAACCAACATAACCAGCTATGCATCATACTGCATATACGCTCCCTAACCGTCGACTCTGAGACTCAAACTCATATCGCGATACCATAAAAATATATTTAAAGTCCTATCCTATCTATCCATAAGAAATCCAGTAAGCCATTCAACTTGTTCAGCTGCACTAACTTAAATATCCATAGCAAGTAATCCAGTTAGTCATTCAACTTTGTTTCAGTTGATGACTTAAATATAAGTAGAATTTATTTTATACTTCATTCCCTTATTTTTGCATAGGTAAGATGTAGTATTTTGAAGTTATTCTTGAAAATTAAAATACTTACAGAAAGCCCGCTTTTGAGTGAATTCCATAGTGTTGGAAGGGGCTTGCCATGAGCTACCCTCACATTCTGCTTCCACTAGTAGTTGTCAAATAGGATTAATAAATTGGTCAAAAGAAGAGATAGGGTTTTGAGTGGTGAATTGTTAAGAAATCTATTGGTAATTTTTTTTTATTAATTACTCCCAATGAAGTTGCAGATATGTTTTGTTCAATTTGAATTAGATACAACCATATCAGCAGCGATTATAAAGCAAGTTCATAGCAATGCCCACCCTAAAACCTCCATCAAACTTCCACGCTCTTCTAAACAAAGACTTGTCTTCTCTACTCAAACTAAACCAAGTTCCCTCCTTTCTTGAGGACGTCACCAAGTACTTGAAACTATCAGCTGACACCAAAAACCTAAAGCTTGGTAGAGTAATTCATGCCCAGTTGATTGTTACCAATCAAGCCTCACCAGACCATGTGATTGAAAACAATTCTTTGATCAATTCTTACACAAAATGTGGCGATGTTTTGATTGCTCGCCAACTGTTTGATAGAATGCGCAGACGAAATGTAGTTTCATGGAGCGCTTTGATGGCAGGGTATTTCCATAATGGGTTTGCTTTGGAAGTTCTCAGATTGTTCAGAACTATGATTTCAGTGGATTATTTGAATCCGAATGAGTACATATTAGCGACAGTTCTTTCATCTTGTTCTAATAGAGGATCACTTCTAGAGGGTTGGCAGTGTCATGGGTTTGTATTGAAGTCTGGATTGGTGTTTCATCAGTACGTAAAGAATGCGCTTATATACATGTACTCGTTGTGTGCAGATGTTGGCGGGGCTATGAGGGTTTTGAATTCAGTGCCTGGTTCAGACATTTTTACTTACAATTCCATTATAAATGGGTTTCTGAATCATGGGTATTTGAGTGAAGCATTAGAAGTTTTGGGTAGGATGGTGGCTGAATCTGTGGCGTGGGACAATGTCACTTATGTGAACGTTTTTGGCCTTTGCACTCGTCTTAAAGATTTGAAACTTGGTTTGCAAGTTCACAACCGTATGCTGAGGAGTAATGTTCAGTTTGATTTGTTTGTCAGTAGTGCCATTATAGACATGTATGGGAAATGTGGTAAGGCTCCAATTGCAAGGAAAGTTTTTGATGGGTTGCGAACTCGAAATGTGGTCTCCTGGACGGCAATATTGGCTGCTTATTTACAAAATGGGTGCTTTGAGGAAGCATTGAAACTATTCATAGAAATGGAACTTGAAATTGAGAATATAGTTCCAAATGAATATACCTTTGCTGTATTGTTGAACTCTAGTGCTGGTCTATCGGCAAGGGGATATGGGAGTTCATTACATGCACGTGTCCAGAAGTCGGGGTTTAAGGATTATATAATTGTGGGGAATGCTTTGATCAGTATGTACTCGAAGAGTGGCAACATAGAAGCTGCAAATAAAGTATTTACAAATTTGAGATATCGAGACTCCATTACTTGGAACGCAATGATATCTGGATACTCTCATCATGGGCTCGGTAAAGAAGCGTTGTCGGTATTTTATGACATGTTAGCTGCAGAAGAGCATCCTAACTATGTAACTTTTGTTGGGGTTCTTTCTGCGTGTGGACACTTGGGTCGAGTACAAGAAGGGTTTTATTATTTGCACAATTTAATGAAACAAATGGGCGTTGAACCTGGACTGGAGCACTATACCTGTATTGTTGGGCTTCTGAGTAAGGCTGGACTACTTGATGAAGCTTTGAATTTCATGAGGTTTACACCAGTGAAATGGGACGTGGTTGCTTGGCGTACTTTGGTTAGTGCTTGTCAAGTACATCAGAATTATGGTTTAGGGAAGCAAGTTGCAGACTTTGTCTTACAGATGGATCCTGATGATGTGGGAACTTATATCCTTTTGTCTAATATGCATGCCAAGGCAAAGAGGTGGGATGGAGTTGTTAAGATCAGGAAGTTAATGAGAGAAATGAACATAAAGAAAGAGCCAGGGACGAGTTGGACAGAGATAAGAAATAATACTCATGTCTTTGCTTCTGATGACAATAAACATCCAGAAGCTAGTCAAATTCGTGATAAGGTAAGGGAACTGTTGGCAAAGATAAAACCACTGGGGTATGTGCCAGATGTTGCTGCTGTACTGCATGATGTGGAGGAGGAACAGAAGGAAGATTATCTTAGTTTTCATAGTGAGAAGCTGGCCATAGCATACGCCCTCATGAAAACACCTCCAGAAGCACCAATCCGAGTGATTAAGAACCTTAGGATGTGCGATGACTGCCACTCTGCTATTAAATTTATCTCAAAGGTCACAAACAGGGAAATAATCGTAAGAGATGTCAACCGCTTTCACTGTTTTCGTGATGGATGCTGTTCATGTGCAGATTATTGGTGATGTATTGATGCTTTTTGTTCATGTAATGGGTGAATAGTGGAGGAAATTTCAGCTATGGAACGGAGAGGTCACTAGCAACAAATCAGCCTCCATCGCAGCTCAAAGAGAATAAGCTCATTTTGAGGATGTCCCTAGCCACCGTGACATATGTAAGTTCTTTTTTTTTTTTTTTGATAAGTATGACATACGTAAGTTCTTCAAATCAGATATTCCTCAAAACATGGATTTTTCACTTTTAGTTATTGATGGTGAGACTTTTCTGTACTGCAGCTGCTATTGATGTTTTGGACCGTATACATCATGAAAGTCTGAAATTAAGTGAAGAGAAGGGAATTTGTAAATTGTTCTATGAGAAAGAAGTTTTAATACCATTTTCTTTTTCCTGTTCTGGGAACCAAATGGTTCATTAGTCTTTCCTGTTACTATAGTGTACTCCTTTTTAGTTGTTCATAACTGCCAAAAGAAACGATTGATGTGGTTATAGTATTGAAAAAAACTTATATGTGCTGTTTGTTCAATATTTTTTCTTCTTAATTTTTACTCATGTAGGCCCTCAAATGCATTTGAATTAGAAACAAAAGCATTGTAATTATTTTTCTGTTTCTGGCATTTGTTATTGGGCTGCTAGTTATTCTCTATATTTGCTCAAAGTATATTCATTTGCTAAATATATTCTGATTTTTTATAATCATTGGATCACATGATAATTATTTTTCAATAAATAGTTCTTTTAGCTTCACCATTCATCGTTACCCTTTGGTTTGACTGGATTTCTCCGTGCAGCAAAATATGACGTTGCCTTATCAACAGCATGTCCTGGTCTTGATTATATTGTGGTGGAAACAACTGGCGCAGCACAAGCATGTGTGGAGTTACTTCGTAACAAAAAACTTGGTGTTGCAACGTTTATGATTTTGGTAGAAATCTTATATTCAATTTAGTGGTTTTCCATGGTTATTCTTTATTCAGTGTTGATTTGTTGTGCTAGTAATTAGGTTGGTAATTGGTAAATTTAACAGAAATTTGTCAGCACTTGCCAACAAAACTGTATCACAGCAAACAGCCTCTTCTATTTGCTGATTCTGAGTGGCGGGAGTTCATTATGTTGTTTGTTATTCATTTCTGGTATCCCATGGTTGTTAAAGCGCACCTAGGCTCCCAAAAAGCCCCCGGTTTGTCAAGGCTGCTCAGCTAAAGCGCCTCAACCTGGTACAGGCCAGGCTTCTCAGTCAGGCTCACTTTTAGTAGGTTCCAGGCTAAAAAAAGCACGCCTTTTATTTTTTAATGACTTATTCATATCATTTATTTTGTATCAAATGACTACTAAATGAGAATGTTATATATCATATCATGATCATATTTAGTGGATCATATTTTTAAACGTTACGAAATATTTGACAGAATCCATAAGTTTATGAGTCACTACTTACATTAATGGCATTTAGTGCTTGATTAGGGATATTTATGATAATATATGTTTAACATTTTGCATAATTATACTTTTAATTGTTTCAGATTTAAAATCACTTTTTATTTGGTTAATGCATGCATTTTAAATGATTTATAAGCATTAATTTACCTGATCCTCTTAGTTGATATGTCAAATTTCCCATTCTTTTAAGAATTTTTTATTATTATTTGTGTCGCATATGTTGAATTGTTCTTATTGTACATTGGTTATTGAATTCATATGCAAAAAGAAAAGAAATATGGATGTTGATTTAGCTTATGTATTATGAATTGATATGTTGAGATTATTCCTTATTTTGATATCGACAAGTATGTGTTGCATAGTTTAATTTTTCTTTATATAGATCACACACGTTACTTCGATCAGGCTTGGGCCTTAGTGCGCCTTGAGTCTTTAACAACTATGACTTAACCTGACTTAAATTTAATTCCTACTAGTGTTTGATCTTTGTAACCTTGATGACAAATGTATTGATATAAAACAAAAATTCATATTGCAAAAGGTCTATTTAGATTGAGAATGGATTATTAGTCGAATATACACATTCTTTTTACAGATTGGTCGATTATTAGTCGATTATTAGTCGCATTTGATGATTCTGACTACATGGAATAATTGATTGTACGTCAACTCCAAATGTACGTGACTCCTTTTTTGCTAATTGCTCTGGCAGGAGAAGCAAGTTGACCATTTACCTAGATTGAAGGAGAGAGTAAGCACTCCCTAGGGAGTTCCACGCCTATTTGATTAGATTAAAGTTCAAGATGAGAGAATGAAACTTGCTTTCTTTGCAGCAATGGGGAATACAGTTGTTGCAGAAAATATTGATCAGGTGGAATTTTTTTTCCCTAAATGGAGAAATTAAATCAATAGATAATGCAATAGAGTACGAGTGTATCAGTGAGGGCATACTCTCACATTACAACATATATATGTTTCATGTTATTTATTCTTTCACGAAGCACAAATGGCCAAAAAGAAAATGAAAATTAGGGGCTTATTTGGTTTGGTAAACATTGGCAATAGAATGCCAAGGCAAATATTGATTAACAGGTTTCTTTTGAATTTTTAGGCTACACGTATTGCATATGGTGGAAACAGAGATTTTCGGCGCGTAGTAACACTTGATGGTGCTCTTTTTGAAAAATCTGGTACTATGAGTGGTGGTGGAAATAAGCCACGAGGTGGCAAGATGGGATCATCAATCCGAGTGATAACTGTTTCTGCAGAAGCTGTTGCAACTGCTGAGAAAGAGCTTTCTGCAATGGTTGATAAATTAGTTAGCCTACATCAAAGAACTGATGATGCAGTGAGGCATTACCAGGCCTCAAAAAAACTAGTATCAAATTTGGAGATGGATTTAGCCAAAAGCCAGACAGAGGTAGAAAGTCTAGTACAACTCCTCCATCCTTTTCAGTTTGATAATAGTTATTGTGATTTTATGGGTCAAAAATTTTGTATCTCAACAGATCAGTTTGAATTCGCAATATGTTTATATTGGAAAACAACTTGATGCCCTGATGGCTGCATCTGAGCCGGGGAAGGATGAGCTTAGAAGGCTGGAGGAACTGAGAAAAACTATTTGTGCAGAAGAAAAAAGAGATCGAGAGGCTTGCACAGGGGTCAAAAGAGCTGAAGGAGGTGTGTAAGGGGATATCTTTTGACTTAAAATATATATATATATTCAAAATCCAATCGATATCTAGCTTAATGTTACATATTTTATTGGTTACTCTTTTGAGCGTTATATACTAAACAAATGTATTCTATGCAAAATGGTATGCCTTTTAGTTTGGGAGAACAATATCCGCACTCCACTTTTATACTCAAACATTACTTGCTTTTCTAAAAGAAAAATGACACAATTGTCCTTCAAAAACAAGTCCATACTTCATAATTATCTCAGAAGTACTCACACACTCGGGTAACTGAGCCATTTTTTTAAAGAAAATTAAGTGGAATGCAAGAGTTTAAAAATGAAGTAGGAATACCACATTCCTATGGTTTGTGATTGAAATTGCTTATAGCGTCCATGTTTTTATTTTTAGTCTTTGGAACTACAGAGCAAAATAGAGAATGCAGGTGGTGAAAAATTGAAAAAACAGAAGTCGAGAGTTAACAAGATTCAGTCTGTAAGTATTTGCTTGAGTAGCATATGGCAGATCCTATAAATGAATATTTCCACCAAATTCATATTACCCACTTTTCAGGATATTGATCAAAGCAGTACGGAGATCAACCGTCACAATGTACTGAGGAGAAGCTACTTTCCACCTTCAAAGAGATAGAACAGAAGGCTTTTACAGTTCAAGAGAATTATAAAAAAACACAGGAGGTATTATATTTAGTTGTTTTAATTTGTGGAACTCATTATGGTGAATTTTGTCAATGGAGTTGCATTTTTAATTGGTGGTTGCTCTCTTCATCATCATCATCTTCTTTTTCTTCTCTAGCTAATCGATCAACACAAGGATGTGCTGGATAAAGCAAAAAATGACTATGAAGAGCTGAAGAAAACTGTGGATGCGTTAAGGGCATCTGAGGTACACCAATAAGTATTTTCTGTTTTGAGCCTGTTCTGGTCAATCTATTTTGTAATACCATATCAGTGATTTATTGGGGATGGTACAGTTTGATGCTGACTACAAGTTACAAGATCTGAAAAAGGTCTGCAAGGAGCTAGGAATGAAGGTAAAAGGATACAAGAAAAGACTTGGTGATTTGCATGTTGCTCTTTCAAAGCATATGGAAAAGTATACATCACTCATAATATTTTCCTGTCAGGGAAAATTGTAAAACATTAAAGCATGTCTAATTTTATTCTTTTCTTATTATTTGCCCCTTCTTTTGTATGGTTGCTCGCAGAATTCGAAAAGACTTAAGTGGACCCTGAAAAGCTTCGAGCAACATTGGCAGATGAAACTCTTACTCGGGTTTGTGACCTAAAAAGGGCCCTTGAAATGGTGCCACTGCTGGAAGCACAACTGAAAGAGATGAATCCGAACCTTGATTCAATCTCAGAGTATGCAGTTCTTTGCTTATTTATTTAGGAAAAGCTCAATATATTTTGCAATTTTTCTGTACTAAGTATTCATTATAATTGATACCAGAAGAAAGTGTCCTTGTACAATGAATGAGTGGAGGATCTTAACTCAGTAACCCAACAGCGTGATGATATAAAGAAGGGTAAATTACACTCAGACCCCTGAGGTTAAGTCATTTTTCAGCTATATTAACATTTTGGTTTTAGATCTCACTTATATTTGAATTAGTGATTTAACATTTCACTTGCACCCCAAATTTTTGGTGGGGCCATAGTACTTTTAAGGTGTAAAATGACTATGCTACCCTTTGACCTCCTGTTGGCTATTTTTGTAACCAAACGATCCCCAACATATACCATCCTCTTCTTCCTCCTCATATCATCATCTCCATATCTATCTTCACTCCATATGACAGAACATCTAGAATATCGAGAGCAGTAAAACTGCCAGAGTTCAAGGCATTCACTTCCACTAAACTTCTAATGCTTGGATCATAGGAGAGCAACACTTTTAAAGTCTGCATTAAATAAATCAGATAAAATGAGAATTTAATGTTGCAGAAAGCTATACACTTGCTCAACCAAACAAAAATGTCATAGATTACTGGGCAAAAAGAAAAGGATCACAGATAAGATGATTTTTTCTTTCTTAAGAATGAAATTTTGTCCCCATGTGTGGAAGACCCACCATTCAGTACCAATACAATATTTAGCCTTATCTCATTTCATACCCTTCACTTTTTCTCTCTGGAAAATTTCTCCAATCTTTGAAATTCTCTTTCAACATCTCTTTGTCCTCTTAGCTTTTCCCTCCACCATGCCCACCAGGACCTTAACCCATAGGAGTTCTTAGGTGCCAGCTGTAGTTGGGGTGGTGGAAGAGACAAGGGCAAGGGCCTTGAGCGTGTGAAAAAGATGGAATTGTTGAATTGATTCTCTCTTCATCAATTTAGGAATTCATTATAGGTTTTCTATGTATTTAGAACAGGATAATGTGTACTATTAGAAGATCTTACAGAGCTTATGTGACGGCCCAAGTTTTTTTCAACCCGGTGCGTCAGTGATGAACCGAAAGTTAATCCGATAACGGATCCGAAATGCAGAAGCAAATGATAAACCAAGGTCTTAAGAGATAGGAATCACTCCTAAGACACTAATGTGACCTTTCATGAGATCACGGGACTTAAAGAGAGTAAAAGCGGAAACAAGGGTCAAAAAGGACAAAATTCGTTATCAAAGGGGCAAAACAATCAATTCACAATTAAGGAGAGAAACTTGACTCTAAACAAGTCAAAAAAAGTTAATACAACCTAATCTAATCATTTCAAGACATTCCAAGAGGTTTTAAGAACATTGGCCAAGAATCCCACAAATTGCCCTTTTCCCGGTTGAAGTGAAAACTGACACTATCTCACTAAAACATGAATAACTTCCACTGTGTTTGGAATCTGAGAATGGCATAAGTACCATTGGAAAGCTGACTCAAAATTCTTGAGTTTAGGCTCAAGAATCACCCCATTTGGATAAGGAACGAAGAAATTATGGCCTTTCGAAGTTGGAACAACAGTGCTGAATCACAACTGAAGAAGCTGGGCAAAAGAGGGCTATTTCGGTCGACCGAAATAGAAGTGGTGTGAGTTTCAGTCGACCGAAACTCACAGAATACTTTCTGAACAGTGGTTTTTGAGGGTTGCATGGCTCGGTAGGCCGAAATAGGCCATCGGTCACCCGAACTGGAGTTTCGGTCGACTGAAACTCCTCGAAAAGCTGCTGAATGACCTGTTATGAGCAAAATTTGTTGAGGCTTCACCCAAGCCTCAAACCCCAACATGAATGTGGACTAAAAACATGATTTTAAGCTATACAAACATGCTCGCAAGTGTACCTTATATATTGAAACATGTTACCATTGCCCATGGCCTCATTACATGACATTTACTCCAATTCACATGCCAAACCTCAAAGGTTGATGAAAGTACATTTCAAATGCAAAACTTGAAATTTAAATACATACAGTCGAACTTTAATGTTGGTGGCCCTTGGCCTCATATCATACATATCGAATAGGTCCCAAATAGTGTATCCAAGTACACTTTACATACAATAAGGCAAAAAAGGTATGTTGAACCCAACTAAGTGTTACAACATCAATAATGAAACTTAAACATGCTAACACTTGCATGTGAACAAAAATGCTTTAAAAGGAACTTCAAATCTCTAAATCACCCAAGGCAAGTGCAAGTCTCCAATCTTGAATCTTGTACCTGAACAAATCCCCCAGTAACTTCGGGTGAGTAAACAAGTTTACTCTTAGAGAATGAGCATGCATCGACTCGATTTCTTTATAGATTTTTATAACAACATAAAACAATTCAAAAGGGTCATGCCACCTAACATCTATGTCAAAGGTTAGACTCAGGGAGCATCCTAAGCTACCTTAACTCATTTCTAGCATAAAACACATCCTTTATGCAATTTAAATCACATAGGAGCATGCTATACGAGGCAACACAATATAGATTCTCAAAGTTATCAACTTGCAATCTAAAAGTGCAAAATCAACTAAATATAGCAATTTAGTATAAATAGAATTTCTAATACCACACATCAAAACATAGATTCTCTAGGTTATCGACTAGAAATCTAAAAGTGTGAAAACAACTAAATATAACAATTTAGTATAGATGTACTTAACAACATCAAATCGCCAATAGCCAAAACCACAAGTCATAATTAAACATGATTGTCAACGTGGAATTGAATGCGAAATCAAATAGTGGAAGACTTGGACATCTAAGCTCGGAATTCTGCCAAGACCTCAACGGTTATTCCGGGCATTAACCCGCAGGGAAAACCACCCTAAGTGCGCACTATCTCAATTGGGGAGAACTCATAACTCCCGCACTAGAGCCAAACTCTAGCCATGTAATTTGTAACAACAATGTCCCAAGACTCCAAAATAAACCAAATAAGTTCACAACTTATGCATAATTTATATAATGCATGAAAACAGCTTCCATGCGCAAGTAGGTTGAAACCACACAATCAATGCCTTAGAGTTTCAATTCTAAAATGACATACATAATGTCAATTACAAAGTGTGCAAATCGTGACACAAGGCAATAATATATTCCATAAAGAAAACATGTTCTCATGAATATAATTTAAACAACAATGTACTCAATGCTTAAAACAAGTCCAAATCCATGATTTAAATATAGAAACAACTTCTACAACATAATTAAAATCCATGGCGTAATGGATAGAATTTAATCAAATCATGATAATTAAATCTCTATTTTCCAAATCAACTCTAAATGGTCCCAAGTTTATATATACTAGTACACAAGTCCTAGTCATCACAATTATTAAGTTAAAACACAAGTAAGCCGATGGAACCTTTGAAATAGATTTTAATTAATACTTTTAATCAAAATTTCTAGATTTTCATACTCATCCAAATGTTCTCAAATTAAGGTATGTTGAAAAACATGTCAAAACTTAATTTAAAAGTATATCACAACTTAATTTCATGCAAGGTACGGCCATGATAATTAATCTTTCACAAAAGAAAAAATATTAAATAAAAGTTGCAATTCTTTTCCAAATAATCCAAATTTAATATATGTTAACAAGCACATCAAAACTTAATTTCCTAGCATGCCACAATTTAATTCTAAGTTAAATACCATCATGAGAATTAAATCTTAACCATATAAAATAATTAAATTAAATTCTAGATTCTTAACAAAAGCATGCATACAAGTTGTATAAGCACCAAAAACATGCAAGATAACAAAAATATGAAATTATAGCACCCCCTACCTCCATTTGAGATGAAATCTCAAATCCCCACCAAAATGAAACCGCTCCGAATCCGACGAAACTTCTAGGTTTTGTCGGGGACAACACAATCTACATGAACCCCCAAGAAGCCCCATCAAAATCACAACTTGACTTCAAACCCGAACTCAAGAAATGGTTAGAAATGAATTCTAATAAGGGTGAAAGGTAGAGCACGTCGAGGGGAACATTAAACGTTAAAGCCGAAGACTTTTCATCAAGGAAAAGTGGATCAAAAGAGGAGAGAGAAGATGGCAACCACTTTTTGACTTTAAGTCCCCTATTTATAGAAAAACCCTAAAACTGTCCTGAAAGGGCCCCGCCGTGTCCAGAAGAGTGGATTTTGAGCAAACGCGCTCAAACGGTAAAACTCAGTGAACGAAAAAGATTCAAAATGAGAAAATATAAACAACGGAAGAAACGGCGTCGAAAACCGAGTCCCGAGCAGAGAGATATGCCCCGAACAAGTTCGGCGGCAATCGGGGTCAAAAACTCTGAAACTGGAGAAAAACGATCAGAACTGAATTCTAAGAGAACATGACTCGACAAAATGTGAAAATGAATCCCGTACGAGGATCCAGGCTCCAGACGAGGTATTTTTGCAATAACTTTCGCTACTTGCACAATGGCCCCTCCAAAAAGTGAAAACTGCACTAA